TGAAAGTGTGCAAACAATCATGGATGAAAATAATAATTGAGTATTCAATATTTGTATAATGCATGTTGTTAGAAAAAGGCAAAACAGTCAATGTAATGGTATTTAATTATTTTTGATAATACAGTAGAGTGACAAGGTTTTGCATAGATGTAAATTCAAATGTTCACAATTACCTTCTGAAAGTACTCTTTGATTTTCAATTTACCTGCTTTCTTGATACCTTGTGGGGCAAAACTATAAGTATAGTCAGTGATGTTTTTATGGCAATAAAGCAAGTGGTACTTTCAAAATGCTTAAACCCACAAATGTATAAGTTAACACTGATATTTAATGTCAATTATATAACAAATTAGAGGTACGTGAATGAAATCCCGAGTATTTGAAGATAAATATCTTTATTATCAAACTTCTCTAATTACAAATCCAAAGCTGTATAAGATAAAGATAAATATCTTTATTATCAGACTTCTCTAATTACAAATCTAAAGCTGATAAAGATAAATATCTTTATTATCAGACTTCTCTAATTACAAATCTAAAGCTGTAGGATAAACTTGCAGGTAATTTTCCATTCTAAATAAGATTACAAATTTTTAAAAGCCATTCAATGTTTAATGACTTTTGTGATCCATATTTACCATGAAGAATGAGCATCTATACCACCTTTTGAAAGTTAAAAAAAAATGGAATTTAGAATTAACTTTTTTTCACTTGATAATGTTCCATAGTTTTAAAAGCAAAGATGATGCTGTTTGATTAACCCCAGTTCATAATTTAATTCATTGGGCTTATAACAGTTAGTTTTTTTCCAGATTCCATGAAGAAGTACAAAATATAAAGGTTGTTTTACAAAAATATAGTTTTCCTGTAGAATTAATTGATAGTATTATCAGGAATTATTTAAAAGCTTTGTACACTTCAAAAATTAATAAACAGGTTGAAAACAAAGAAATAACTTATTGCATTGTACCATTCACTGGTAAACATTCAATAAAATTAAAGCGATTTTTGAATAATAAAATTTATCCACAAATTAGGTTTAGGTTTGTTTTTAAACCAATATTTCATTTAAGTAATTATTTTAAACTTAAAGACAGGATTTCTATAATGTATCACTCTTATGTCATCTATAAATTTACATGTCCAAGGTGTAACCTTGGCTATGTGGGCTATACAATTTGTTGTTGGAGCTCACAAATTAAAGAGCATGTGCAAAATACAGTATACAATCAGTCATCCATTGCTTACAAGACTATGACATAAACATTACATGAAATCACTTCAACATCTTGGGGAATGCAGTTAGTAAGGAAATGCTCCTCACAAAAAGAGAACTTGTGGACATGCGAGGTGCATCCTGAATTAAATTATAATGTTCCAAGAAACCGTATTACATATAGAGGTCACAAATGAATTGTTCATACTTAGAATAAACTCTCATTCAAGAGAACAAACTGTAAGTTTAGCAACATTTAAATTCATAAAAACCCTAAATAAAAATATCTATATATTAGTAAGTAACACAAACATTTTCAAGGGAACCAGTGATAGGACATCAGTATATTTACCCAAACAAATAGCTAGTGTTCTTTGGTTATCACTTTTAGCTTTTGTATTTCCTATTGGATTTTTTTGTTGGATATGCAAATACCAGAAGTAATTAAATACTCCATTTTCCTTTAATGTTAACCCCATTAATGTTATAGTATCATAGTTATAAAGTTTAGAATAATTTTCACTACTATTGTTACTTTTTATACTTTTAAACATTATTTTGCATTGTTAGCTTATTATGTGGATTTAGGATTAATCTGAATATCTTAAGCTGGCCAAACCTGCACAAAATGTTTAGGCTACTGTGGTCAAATATAAGTATTTGTTTGTTGTTAAGAACACACAGCTTCACAATGGGCTATTCGTGCTATGCCTAACATAGGTACCAAAACTTGATTTTGATCATCATAAATGTAAAGATTTACCACTGAGCCACTGGGGGGCAAAAAATACTGATAAAAGCAAGAATAAGCATGTAGCAATTCAATACACTCTAACCAATACAGATTTCAGTTTTTTTGTATATTACTTTATGAAATTAAGTCATTAATGATTTCATATATTTATAAGTTATTTTTTGCCCTGATCTATACACAGTTGGCTCAATTTTGATCAGAAGTTATTAATAATTACCCAAGCATAATTTATAATAATTTTTTGTCTAAGAAAAAAGAGTTTGCCATTTGATGACTTAAATTAGCGTTAGTAATGATATTCTTATATTTCATTCAAGAAAGGAAATGTGGCAAAAGCCAAGTAGAAACACGAATAAGAATGTGACTTTCAGCTTTGGTTCAGTGTTTTGAAAACAGATATTTCTAGTTATTAGAAATAGGACTTACTGAATGCTCAACCAATACCACAATTATCAATGCAAAGCCACCTGAGCAAAAAAAAAGTGATAAGAAATCAAAAAGATTTAATGATATTAATCACATTCGGTTCCTGCTTGATATGTAATCTCTCGACTCACTAAATCTACTATAAGTAACTCTTATCTGTGTTTCTGACAAAGGTCAATGTGGTATACAAACAATCAGATTCAAATAAAAAGTCTTAAACATCAGATAATGACACATACCCAATTTTCAACATGTCAACTACGTAACATATAGTCACAATTCTAAGTATTACATGAAAGAAAGAATAGCAGTATTAAAGAAATATGAATTGTTAGTTTTAATAATAAATATAGAATAAGCAGCAATATAGAATTAGCAGCAAATTTGGACATCAGTGACTTTTCTGACGTGTTAGTTCAGAATATGTTATAGTGTATTGTAAAAATAGGAGTTTGAAATGTTATTAAATATTTACTCTTCCTTCCAACGTATAAATCCTTTTAAAATATCAAAGTTCTGCAGCCAATAAAATTAATAAATAAGTTTCTGCAATATTTTTACAAACTCTTTCTTCCCAGTTCAGTCTTTAACTTAGTTGATAATAAGTAGACAATTTTATTCTCGAACATGGAACGAAATAAATTTAAATTGCAGTTAGGTTTAACTTTATTATTACTTGTGTTATGGAACTTACATCAAAACTTAGTTTAATTCAAATTTTAATATTATATATGTTTAATTTTTTAATTTCAAAAGGAAATATAAAGAAAAAATTCTAAATATCAATTTTTCTTTGTCACATAGCATCTCCTATTGTCTCATTGCTCAGTTTCTATTTTATTAAACCTACCAAACAACATGTACAGTGGTTAATGAATTTGAAACTCGAATTTGAGATACAGACAAGATTAAATATAAAATAAAAGCCTCCAACTCTTTGATTTGCTGAGATGTCAATATATTTAGCCAATCTAGTAGAGTGGCTCCTCCCACTCCTCCATTTTTTTGAAATGTCTTGTCTAGTCCCACCTACTTCTTTTGACTAAGTGTTTACTGTCAAGAGAAAGAGCAGTTTCTTGTGTACATAACTCTGACAGTCGTTTGTAAATAGCTTGAAGGAGAAAGTCATTATTTTGCCAAAACTGTTGAAGTGTGATGGCTAAGTTGTTTCTCTGAACAGGTGAGATTTTTTTATATATAGCTTGTTTAGAAACTCAAATATATTACACGGGTTTTGTGTGAACTAATATAGTAAGTTAATAATTTTTGTTGTTTTCCAAAATGTATATTTGAAGCCTACAAAAATTAATATCTCTTCACCCTCCACTTGGAAGAATAAACGAGGTTTACAGGGAGGCTTAGCACATATGATGCACGAGCACAAAATCCCATAACACTACAAGTACTCAAAATATATGTTCTTTGAAGTATATTTTATTTATTTTTCTTTGTTTTAATAAAAATAACTAAAATTTAAGTATCTGGGAATAAATAGTACTTATTGGTTGATTAATAAGTTTGCGAAAATGGAAATAAAATTTTATAACCTTGCCCACAAATAATATCTTTGTATGCCTATATGGTATACCGCTAAATTTCAAACACCCCAGAAAGATGACTAATACTCAAACACTTGTGATGTTTATTGGATTGGCTCTGAACCATATAATAATTGTTTTCACAGATTCAAACTGCAATTTTATTACTCTGGGGAAATCTCACCGTAAACACTGAAGAATATATAAGCCGATAAATTTTACATCATGTTCTTGGAGCAGGGGTCAAGTCAGCTTATTTCTTTGCGCATGCTTTGTTGCTCTTGAGAGTATCATCTTATGGTGTTATGTAAACAGTCTAATGGCACGAGCAGTGATTTGTTGATATATTTTCAGCATATTTCTATTTCAGTCATTGACAGTAAAATAAATGTGAAATGTTTGCAGTTAAAACTCTTAAAAGAAGTACTTTGAAACTTAGTGACCAATAATAAAGAAAAAAAGATCAAAGCTGTTCATTTTATTTCTGATTTTACAACTTTTCATTATACTTTGATTATTTGTCTACTGGCTGAAGAATTAAATATATTATTAGGGTACAGGTAATAACAGATAAAATATAAAGTTTTATATTTATTTAGGAGGTTCTAGAGGTTACACAAATGAAATATGAATCTTGGGACAAAGTATTTTTATTCTTAAGTTAAAATTCACTTTGCACTCAGATTAGTAAAAAAAAGATTTGTTATATTCACGAACAAGTCTTTAGTAAAAATACTTCAATAAAAACTGATTTTTTGTATACAAACGACATGCAATGTTTACTAAAAGTCTGGCAAATTTTGTGAAGATATACATACTGTATTATAAGTTTTAATATGAAAACTATTACAAGCCTAAAATGGTTACGAGGTCAGTTCCTGGAATTGAACCAATGGCGAGAGAGTTAATATGATGTGTTACAACAATTCTGAATGTTTATTTTTTAATTCCAGCTGCATCAAATATATTAGCACTAGCTCTGTCTTTCAGTACCCAATACCTGTTGTGTTAAAACTACAAACATTATTTAATAAAACATGTATGAAACTTATATTTCTACACATACCTACTAGCTGGTTCAATGTCTACTATGAAATCTTCTTGAAAATCATTTATGATGGTTTCATTGATCCAAGACTAAAATGAAAAAAAAAGATAGTTCAATAGAAGTAACAAATTACTTTTGAACCATTTGAATATGAATGTTTTGAAGCATATGAAAGCACACATATAATGAATGTTTTGAAGCATATGAAAGCACACATATAATGAATGTTTTGAAGCATATGAAAGCACACATATAATGAATGTTTTGAAGCATATGAAAGCACACATATAATGAATGGTTTGAAGCATATGAAAGCACACATATAATGAATGGTTTGAAGCATATGAAAGCACACATATAATGAATGGTTTGAAGCATATGAAAGCACACATATAATGAATGTTTTGAAGCATATGAAAGCACACATATAATTAATGTTTTGAAGCATATGAAAGCATACATATAATGAATGTTTTGATTTAAAATGTTGAAATTTTCAAAAGTTCCATAAAAGCCTATGGGCATGTTACAGGAAAATTTGGACATTTCTTTATTAGCTTTTTCTTCTCAGTTCAGTATATATAAGACTTTATTTGATGATCTACAAACAATTTATTATCCCATAAAGAATATTTTGTATTTAAATTGCATGTGGGTAAAATTCAATTTGCATGCCTAACAAGTCACACCTTCTCAAAACAAGTCTAATTTATTTATCAAAATACACACTATAGATCTATCTCTCACCTCCACATTACTTTCTAATTCTCCTTTTAATACCACCTTCGATAATTCATCATAAAATAAAACAATAGCTTCAGGTGTCCTTGCTGTGCTACTGCGAACCATTTCCAACAACTCAACAATCTTTTGTTGTGTTTCTGTAGTTACGGCTTCTTGACTTGAGGTTGATGCAGAATGAGTAAGAGTGCTGGTGCTAAAGAAACATTTTTAACTGTTAATCAAGAATGAAAAAGTTATTAACTTACACTTGGTATTGTAATGAAATGTGTGATTTGATATGCGAACTACAAGCACCTTGGTGAAAATCGAATGACTGGCATAATGTACAAAATATTATCTATATCTAAGATGATTAACCCTTATTTGATATCACTGTTTTTTATAATGTTCTAGTGTGAACTAATATATTTTTTAATAAACACAGAATTTCAAATTACGAGTAACATGCAATTTGAGCAGACATTTGTTTTTTTAAAAGTTCGTTTTTGATTGTTTTTCAAATTTTGTAAAAAGCTACTCGAGTGCTATCTGCACTAGCTGTCCATAATGTTGAAGATTAGAGGAAAGGCAGCTAGTGAACACTTGTTTGTTTGTTTGTTTG